ATGAAATACTGTGAATTAAATGGACTGAAAGTTTAGGTTTATGTGCATATCTAAAAGTTTTTCAGACAACTTTCTAAATGAAAAGAGAGAAATTTCTCGAAAAATAGCTAGTGCATGTACTGAAACAGATATATTTTTAGACATTTTATTTTATCGCTTAGATTTTAGTCCATTTTATTCCTTAATAAATATACCTGACAAATATAAAAGTAAAATATTGACAAATATTTTAGTGGGAATGTATCTAGTAATCCTGAAATTTAACACATTTTTAACCCAAAGTGAAAAAAAATACTTTAATAATATGTTTATCACCTGCTTCTATTATTTTATGCAGTATTCAACTAAATAACAGCAGTAATAGATTTATTTGTACTATGTTCCAAAATTTGGGTGTCGAACGTAGTCGGATACTTCAATTTATGAAAAAATAAAAAAACAAATAGTAATTTTTTTAACATTTACAGGCTTTCGATTGTAGAATTTCTATAGAAATTATGTTTATTCTTCTTTAAGGTCATGCTATATTTAAGCTTTTTCGTCTATGTTTTCAAATTCTAGAAATGCCTAAAAGTAACTGGAGTAAAAAAAGCTTTGATATCTGAGCCTTTGAACACGCATTTAATATTTTAAGTAATCTTTAATTATCTGTTTAGCCAATATTATAGTAATTTTGTTAATAGGTTTTTAATCCTTGCAGAGTTTAGTTGTGAAACAAGACTATGCTATGGAAGCGAAACTTTGCACTGAATTTCTGTATTAGGGCTTAATTTGTAAAATTAAATGTGCAGGAGCCCTATGGAAAACTGTCAGGAAAGAGGCACAATTAAATTAATAAATATCTAATAAAATAATTAATGATCAAAATTAATATTCAATAAAATAGAAAAAGATAAATAAAAACTCAACAAATTATTAAATTAATTACAAATAGTTAAAAATAAAATAAAATACTAGACTCTTATTTGGAGCTCAGAACGGAATTACAATTTCGCTCAAAAACTATGAAATAGTTTTGCTGGGCTGGCTGTGGTTGAATTTATACTCTATGTATAATAAAGTGCACTATTTTAAGCAATGATAGAGACAAAGATCATTGCTTTCCCAGTGCACAAATAAAAAACGTTAAAACGTAGAAGCACCATTAATGAGAATAGGGAGAATGCTAAGCACTGTATGAGACTATTAAAGGAAATTTAAAGGAGATATGTAGAAATGAAAACAAAAAAGAAAAAATCCTACCCCCCCAATCTGAGAGTTAACTGAGAACAAAGTAACAAGTGACAAGTTTCGTCATACGCTTCCCTCCCTCATATTCGTTTTTTTTTTTTTTTTTTTTTTTTTTTTTTTTTTTTCCCTTTGAGAACATACAGATTCCCCGTGCACCACATATGTACAACACGGGGCTTACAGAAGTAAGTTAACTAGAACATTAAAGGTTACATGTATAAATAAACATTAAAAATTACATGCATAAATAAAGCGAACAAAAGCAGAGAACAGCAGTCTGGACTTCACGAAAACAGATAAGTTCACTGGCCAAGTCACTCCAAACATTTTCAAATCGTTCTGTAAGCGTAATCTAGGGCCATCAAATGTAGGGCACGAGAAAATCAACTGTTCCACATCCTGAGGAACTCTTTTTGAACATTCACATAAATTGTTTGATCGAAGATTAAAACGAAACAGATAACTTGCAAATTTACCGTGACCAGATAAAAACTAAGACACTTTAAAATTTAACGAGAGGAAAGACTCGGAATTCAGTCTATGGTAAATAGAAGGAAGGAACTTTTTGGTGACTTCAGCATTACAAGATGAAATGTATTCCTCATTCCACATAGCTAAAAGCTTTTTATAATGAAAGGACTTCCAATAACTCTTTGGAATGCTAATGTTGATATCAATGGGTAGATTTAAGGCATCTTTAGCTAAGAAATCAGCTCTTTCATTTCCATAGAAACCATGATGAGCACGCACATAAGCAAAGCAGATATCAATACCTCTAATTTTAAGTGAACTAACAGTTACTAGGGTTTCGATAACTAATTTATCGCAGCTGGTAATACTGTTCAAAAGTTGAAGAGAAGAAAGAGAATCAGAACAAATAAGGTACTTTGAGGATGTTGTCCCATGATCCCGGATCCATTTGACGGCAAGATAAATGCGCAGAAGTTCTGCTTGAAAAACTGTACATTCATTCCGTATACGGTGTCTAAGAAAACAAATCTCGGAATGACCTTCAAAAAGAACAAATGCAAGGCCAACCTTATTGTTCATCTTGCTGCCATCTGTAAAGAAAACCATATGAAAACTTATTTCAGCAGTCTCTTTATAATCGCAGAAATTTATGGGCTTCTAAAGTAGCGGGATGAGGAAGATCAAGTGAAGGGGACAATTCCCATTAATGCAGTCTTCCGAAGCATCAGTTGCCAATGACTCGAAAATATTATTCTTATATGCAATTTCAAAATCAATAATCGTAGGCGGAACTCCTGCAAGAACAAAAGTAGCCTCATAGCTTAAGGTTCTATAACCACTAACAATACGAAGAAGAATTCTCCGTTGAATCTTTCTTAAATTTCTTTTGTTAACCTTCTTGGCAAGAACATGTCCCCAAGCACGACAGCCGTACGAAATGAAAGGTACAATACACTGCTTATACATGAGTTTCTTAACATCGTAGCTTACTCCAAAAGTATTTTTGGCAATTCGGTGAAAGCCATTAATAATTTTTTCACATTTAGCAGAAAGGAATTCAATGTGCATTTTTCATGTTAATTTTTGGTCAAGAATGAGACCAAGATACTTAACATTTTCTACAAATTCCAACGGAGAATTATCGAGCATCAAAGAAGCAATATTTTGTTCATCAAACGTACTGGGAACAAGCATAGCTTTACTTTTTGAAGGATTGAAAGTGAGTTTATGAGAAATCGCCCAACTGGAGACAAAATCTAGAACTTCTTGTGCTCTCAAAAGAATGTTATTCAAAATCCTTCCTTGGAAAATTAATAGTAAGTCGTCCTCAAACGCAATTTTTAAACAACCGTCGAGATGGCTTGAAAGATCATTTATGATTATGTTCCAAAGAGTATGTCCGGATACAGAGCCTTGAGGACAGCCTTTTTCTAGGGAATAAACCTTAGCTTCGTTCCCAAGCTGAAGCTCAGCAGTCCTCTCGTTCAAGAAGCTTTTAAGAAGGTTATAGATATTATGTGGTATACCAGCATCTTTTAAAATTTTTAAGATAGATAGCCACCAAGCATTATCAAAAGCTCCTTTGAAATCCAAGAAAATAAGAAGTGTAGTATACTTCATTTTCTTTGCACACTGCAAGATATTACAAAGGCGAATAATGGCGTCTTCAGCGGACTTCCGAGGAGTAAATCCAAACTGAGAATCATTATAAAAGCATTTTTGTCTCAAATACCAATTTATTCTGTTAATGAAGAGAGTTTCAAGACATTTTCCCAAAGTAGGCAAAAGACTAATGCATCTAATATTATCAAGATAAGGGGTTCTTGTATCTAAAGTTTTAGGAATCAAAACAACCCGAGCTGTCTTCCATTGTGCTGGAAAAATGCCTAATTGTAAACAAAAGGTTGAAAAGTCTGTGTAGAAATGTGCTATCCACCGCATGAAAGTGCTGTACAATTTCATTAGAAAGAGAGTCAAGCTCAGGTGATTTGTTCTTCTTGAGATTTTTAATAACACTGTTAACTTCTGATGTAGAGAACGGACAGTCCATAAAAGAAATATAAGGTCCATCAGACTCAGTGCGCATAGTTCTATGAAAATTTCTATCATCACGCGCATTATCTCTTGGGAAATTCTTTGTCATTATAGCAACAATTGTATCACTCAAACTCGAAGTAACACTGCTATCCGGGAGTTTAATTCCCGAAATCTCAATCCTTTTCGCAAAATTGGTCTTAACCCCATACTTATATATAGATTTCCAGACATTGTGAACAATAATAGTTGAGAGAAAATTTCTCCACGACTCCTCAAGCTTAGCATTAGCTAATTTGTACCTTGTACTTATGCCGCAATTCGAAATATTTAATTTTATAAATATTTTTAAGAAGACAGTTTCTTTCTCTCTGGAATCTACGCCTAGCAGCATTTACATGCTTTCTATAACAATCAATTTCCTTAGACCACCAAGGGACCCCATTCTTCTTACTTTTCTTCATCGGAATTGAAAGTAAAGCACAATTAAAAACAACGGTAGAAAGTCTGTTTACAACATTTTCTAATGCAATACAATCAGAGCAACTGTTAAGAAGGATATTCAAGTTACACTGTTCTCTCTTACAAAGTTCAGTAAATAAAAACCAGTTCGCTCTTTTTAAATTAAAAGTACACAAATTATGAGATATAATCGGACGGCATAAAACAAGTTCAAAGATAATCATTTTATCGTCAGAAAGAGTATCTTCCTCAGAGATATTCCAACCTTGAACATATGGCAGCAGTCTTAAGCTACAAAGCGTAAGGTCAATATAACTCGAGCCTTGCGTGGAACAGAAAGTAGGTCCGCGATTAAGTAGAAACAAATGATTCGCACTAATAAAATCACTAAGTTTCGTTCCTCTAGAATCAGTAATAGGACTGCCAAATCGCTGATTTGCTATTCGAATCCATACCACATAAAAAATTGCATGGTTTCTTCATCGTTTCTCACGGAGCACATATCTTTTCTTTCTATGCTTAGACCATAGTGATGCACTTTCATTAATATATAGACCACAGCGATGCATTTTCGTGGACCACAGTGAAGATTGTTTCAGAGCCTATATATGGATTCGTAGGCACTAATAACGGATATTTTAGGCTCATATATCGCAGCGAAAAAACTTCATATATGCGTCTCATAAAGCTCAAAATGTTTATTTATTGTTATCTGGGTATTAATTATGATTATTTGAATAGTTTTTTTTTTTTTTTTTTTTTTTTTTTTTTTTTTTTTTTTTCATTTTTTAACATTTATTTAGGCAAATACCTGACAGTTGAGTCTGCAAACCGCAATGGGAAGCCCAGAATAAGATCTGATACAATAGATGGTGTCTCCAAGGGTTGCAAGGTAAGTTTAGGATTTCGTTTTCTCTGCAGGCCTCATTTCAAATTTTCTTCTTAACATTTAATGAAATATGTTTTAATAAAAAAAAACTTCTTGAATGGGAAGGTTGGATTTTTTTTTTCTAGAGACTAATTTGGTTTGGTTTATTTGGTTACCCCAAAGCGCACGAAGACTGTTTGCCTAAGAAAGGAAAGCCTTCGTGGAGGATCTTTGTGCAATCTTCCTAACATTCTTTGAAATTGACTTCTTAAGACATTGGACGAAGCAGAGAGACGAGCAGCACATGTTAGAACAGCAAGTCAAAACGAAAATTTAAAAACGCATTCAGAAAAACGTGAGATTCAAATTCTATGATTCAAGTCAAATTCTATGATTGGATACGATCTATAATTATCTATCTTGATCTATGATTGGATAAGAGGTATCCGCATTGCAGGATTACTTAATAAAGCATGATGCTGATTAATTTTGAAATGACGCTGTTTAAATTCAGATAGTGCAATGGAGGAATAAAAGGGACTGTCTTCTTCTTCCTACTAATCCCTGTGATCTGAATCACATCAGATCCATTTGCCTTAACGATTTCCAGCACGAAATTAGTTCTCTTCAGCAGATATTCATGCACCAAGGCAACACAACTAAGTAGATCTTGCGAAGTAGCTTGTAGGGCTTTGACATTTGGCACAAGTTGGGAATGTTTTAGTACCATGGGAATATATGAAAAGTCTTTAAATGTCTTTAGGTCAACCAAGTCAGAACTGTTTGGACCTTCCTGTCACCCTTGAAATCAATACCAGGATCTGAACTACGATACCATGAATGTGTCGGTAGTTTTTTCCAAGAAGTGTTCTGTAGAGCCTTTCCTCTCGAGCATAGTTCAAGATAAGCTTTAGGTTCAACATAAACCTGAAGCATAGAAGGGCCTTCCTTTTCTAGTCGAAAGGGACAATTGCTAAATTACAGTAGTTCTCTTTCACATTTTATGTGGTTCATATCTTATTTTAGAATTTTAGATAAAACTGTGTGTTCTTATTTAACAGGTGCGTTTCTGGTTTAATACAATATTCTCGAATAACCTGCTGCGACTGTACAAGAGAGTGAATTACAATGCAAACGGTATGGAATTCCTGAAAGAATTTTCAACTGATATCAATGACTTCTGGCACCGAGCTGAACTGGAAATTGGTGGTAACGCTGGACAAGACTATCAGGTGAGAAACATCTCGTAGTAATTTGATTTACACTCATCATTATACTTATATGTCAGGTACTTTGGAATGCTTAAAAGTCTATTTGAACCTAATATGGTGATTAAGAGAATGGCTTCATTTTTTAATTTACCAATTTAATGCATGTATGTGTAAAGGTGAAAAATAAAATAATGTTCTTGTTGGTTCTAAAACAACCGAAGAAAATATACTGTTAATAAATATTTTTTTGTTATGCTAAAGAATATAATCCGTTTCCCTAATATTGCATATTTTAACCCTCTGACCGACCCAGGTTTTCGATAAGGAAGTACAAATTCCCCAAAGCTACCATGAGAAAGAATTATTTTCTTCATTTTAATGCCAAAATACTCCTGGTACTTTATACATAGATATATTTAATTTTAATATATTGCTTTAATTTCTTGGATATATTTTAAGAAATACATACATACATATATATATATATATATACTATATATGTATGTATGTATATATATATATTTTTATTTTATTTTAAAACCCTCCTGACTGGCAAGTGGCAAGGCCATATATATATATAGAGAGAGAGAGAGAGAGTATAGAATCCTAGAATACTTTTATGATGTCTGTAAGAATATATATATAATATACATATATATATATTATAATATATATATATATGGCCTTGCCACTTGCCAGTCAGAGGGTTTTAAAATATCTCTTGGCTTTTACCTGTTGTCTATTGCATTTAGTTCTGCTTTCCGTGGGTTTCGATTCCAGTTATAATTATAATTAACAATTACCTGCTTAAATATTTTTATGTATTAATTGCATTATTTCTAACATTTACTAATCATGCAATTACATTTTCTTTAGATCGTGATAGAAGCAGTATTATCAGGAAAGTATGGCAGCGTTAACATTGACGACATATCCTTGACGCCAGAATGTCATCTTGCACCAGGTAGGAAATATATCTCAGTTTACAATTTTTGCCAGATTCTTGAGAAATAAGTTTCTGAGCAAGCATCTGACTTAAATCTATTTGTACATTGCTTTAAATATACTCGTTTCTTGCATTTTAGGAGCGACACATTTGAAGAGCTTCCTTCTTAAGACTGAACTGTATTTTTCACTCGCTTTAAAGTATCTAACATGTAGAATGATATTTTACGTTATAAAGTATCATTTAAGCTTCCAACCAGTTATTTTAATTTTCTTTTCTATCAGCCTCGTTTTCGTTTACCTTCCAGAATGTGAATTTCTAGCTCGCGCCATATTCAAATTAGGTAGAATGAATTCAAAGGAAGGTTTTGGAGGGTAAAATCAGAGCATGTCCTACCTGCTTGAAGACCACGTTGCTAATTTTGATTTTATAGTGATAAGTATTCTGTGGCGTTGAATTATTCTTGCCATTAGGCTTATTTACGGCGACTTCGGTCAGAGCCAGCTTGCTCACCAGTTATACTGGGAAGCCATTAAGCTATACTCAATTACATTAGTTTCAGCTCATTCATTATCTTTGGTTTCTGTAAGCAAGAGCTGATGCTGACTGTTAAACTGTATAAGTTAAATAAAGTATCCTTTACAACCTTACCCTGTTTCTGTGGTACTTACAAGAGATCGTGAAAATTCACCAATTGTCTTTTAGAGCTCTGGTCAAATTTTATGCTACCTGAGAAGGTCAGACTCTACAAGATGTTTTTACAAAAGTTGGATGTCCTATTAGGAGTGTAATTCTGTTTTCCTCTTCCTAATGCTAGGTAAACAACGAGGCCGTAAGATTTTTGTTTCGCATAAGTCAACAAATCAGAGGTAGGTTTTCCTTCTGCGTAGGCCCACCCAGACGAACAAGTTAGCTGCTTATAGGTTTTCTTAGTTTTATACGAATACAAGCCACTTTCCCTTAAGTATCCTCCACGAAGGCATCCACCCTATTAGGCACATAGCCCTCATGAGCTTTGTCATATTCAGATAATCTAACTTAATATATTTCTGTAAGTCTTTCTCTATATTTCTAAGAGGAATGCGTTTCTCTGAAAAACTTATTGTGTTCAGCTTTTGTAGATTTCACAAGAGTTTTAAGAGTATAAATAACTGTAAAATCTCTTTCACGTTGTTTAATTTTCTTGTTTCCAGATTTATTCTTAGAGCGTTCTTTACGATTTAGCACTGAATCATTTGCTTGCACAGAAAAGTTTTCCTTTTCCCGGGGGGAAAAATAGCGTTGTCAAGGAATTATCCAACCCAAATGCATTTGTCCTGTTTTATCTTTCTTTCAGGACGGGATATACCTGGAACACCTACTATTCCGCCTCCTATAGATGACTGTGCTCCTGAAAAGTTTTCTTGCAGGAATAAGAAGTGTTACACTCATCTCCAAAGGTGCAATTTCATAGATGATTGCGGCGATGGGACCGACGAAGAGGAATGCGGTAATTCCAAACTTTCTTTTTTTAAATTTCCGATTCATGATTCAAAGAAATGTTACAATTATATAATAAACTTTATTATCTATATAAGATTAACTAATAAGATTAGTTACATACAACTATGTAACAAACCTAATTGTATGTGAAGGTTTCATGCTTTACAAATATTTTTATCGTACCTAGCCTATGCATAGTTTTCGATTTTTTTATCTAATTTCCCAGTCCTCGCCTCCCCCCCCTCAAAAAGGATGCCCAATATTCCAGCTCGTAACACCCACTTTTAATGCAATATATAAGATCAAAATTTACAGGTGCTTGTCATACGCTGGATGTAAAAATGATTAATTTAGAAGTAAGAAAAGATTAGCATACAAAATTTATATTTCTGCATGTACTAAAAAAATGACATTCCTTATGAATTAAAAATTTTTCTTATCTGATAAATGAAACGTTCGTCATTTCCTCTTCACTTATATCTTCAGGCACACCATCGAATTCTGTTTCATTTTCACCATCATCGTTATTCTGATCCATAAATACATAATCATATTGCATTTCGCCTAGACTTATAAGGTATTTTTCCCGCCTTCTTAGCATGTCTTCGTGATGTGATGGCCTGCACGCTAAGCGCGTACTCCAGAGGTCCGTGGTTCGATTCCCGGAGAAGGCGTTGCACATTGTTGTCACGTCCTGCTTCCAAAATAAACCTAATGACTTTACGAGTGACGCCCGAACTAAAAGGGTGGTGAATGATGATTCTCTAAACCCAGGATTTGGCGATTGGGTCCCCTAAAAACCCCAGTCGTCCTTTAAAAGGGGGAGTATGTGTGTGTGTGTGTGTGTGTGTATTTAATTATGGCAAAGCACACTAGGGCTATCTGCCTAAGGGGAGGGATGCCTTCGTGGAGGACTTTCTAAGGGAAACTGGCTCGTATACACGTTACACATGGGGAAAACCACGAAAACACCCATGCAGCTAGCCCGTTCGCGGGATACGAACCTCGGACCGAACTACCAGTGTTCAGCGACTTTACCGCTCGGCCGAAAAGGGGGAGTATATAAGCTATTTCTTCCGCCTTCTTAGCATTCCTTCGTGGTGTTGTGGTGTGCATGCTGGGCGCGTATTCCTGAGGTCCGTGGTTCCCGGCGAAGGCGATGCTCATTTTTCTCATCTCCTGCTTCCAAAATAAACCTAATCACTCCATAGACTTAGATATACTATATTTTTCAAATGACTTTTGAATTATATTGGGTTTAATTTCATTCAATGCTTTTATTATCCACTCACACATTATTTTCAGACTGATATGATGTATTTGGCCTCCTTTTCCTTCATTGTTCCTTCCTTGCCTTCGATGTTCACTTCAAAACCACGGCCTCAAATGACTACATTAAGAGAAAAAAATTTACTGCTAAATTCAAGAATTCATTCAAGTCGGAAGTGCATTCTTGCCTCAAATGCAGTCCCCATTTTCTCGAAAACCTAGAATGACATCCTTGTGAAGTCTGCTAAGAGGGTGCATTGAATGCACCGCACCCTCTTAGCAGACTTATTTACTATCTCAAGCAATTCACCCATACACATGTTTTTTCCTTTATCGCTTTGTCAATTCCCTATACCACTGTTCGAAAATGTGGGGAAAATCTTCGAATGAATGACGACAAATAATAAGAGCTTGACACATGAATCTTTCAGGTTTTCTTCGTAAAAAAAAAGGCGCGCTTATACCTAAAAGCTAATAAGTGTAGTTTAAAATTAAAGATGCGTGTTATATGCTGGAATATAGTAGAGTAGTTAAGGACAGAGAAAGAAGGTAGTAGCAATTGATAAAAACCAGAGAAAATTTTGAAAATTTCTCAGAGCCTTATTTTGAGAATAATGTGTTCTTTTGCAAAATGTTCTTTTACAGAATTTCTCAAAATGCAGTCAGATCTAGATACCTGGAATATCTAGGTATATAGGAAAAAACAATTTATTCCCAGTGTTTTCAGAATTAATTCAATAAATTTCAACAGCTAATCTGAAGAATTTTCTTTGAAAATCTTGCTATCTCGAAACCCTGATTCCAGAGTCAAACCAATGAATTCTGTATCTCTTTTAACTTCTCTGCAGATAATTTTCAATAAGCTGATGAACAGATACTTATGTCTTAATACAGTAACATTTTTCAACAGATTCAGATTTCGTCGCGATATCGGACGGCTGTGGCGGAACCACCAGGAATCACGCAGAGGTCTGTGCGGCCATTCGTTGCTATGCCAGACCATACAACTAAGCCTCCTCCCGTGTAATGTCTCTTTCGACGGAGTTTGGCGCTCAATAGAATGTCCCTCGCTCTCGGGATATCATTGCCTTTCGGGAACCTTTCTGGATGCTAAATCGGGGCTCATCCATAAACACTACGTGGCCTCAATGCTCTGGTGTCCATTTGCAATGTTATGGTGTCCAACTGCGATGTTAATCATCCCAGTTCAGCTGCGCTCTAACATGCGCAGCTGAACTGAGAGACAAATGAACACGAGCCACAAGTTGCACGTACAGTCATCCTTCCTGCAATCGGTGCGACACTGTTTGGTGGGATGTGGGCCATCCTACAGCAGCAGAGAGATGCAACACCAGATGTCAAGCTGTTAATGATCTATGAATGTTTTGCACATAGCAACCGGAAAAGATCGTCTGCCGTTGTGGAAACCCTTCGGTGTCCAGACCCACATCTTCTACAGGGATTTTGACTGCTTTGGTAACGATTCCCCAGCCCGTTGATGACATTACAATGCACATTCAGCTCTTTGGCAACAGAGGATTTTCTTGCACCAGTTTGCAATATCCCGACAGCCCTCCAACGCATTTAATCGTGCAAATGGTGTCTTCGGCTCTGTAGTGGTGGCCACTACTAATCTAACCAATATCTATCTAGAAATCCTTAATTAATTTACATGTGCCCAATATTTACTGGCTCGAATTCTTAGTGGTAGTACATTGCTATTAAACCCTAGTGACAAGAATAATTAAATATTTGACTTATCCAATAACCCACATGCATGACACTTGCGAAGACAAATTTCTTTATCTAATCTCACATTTAATTTTATCAAACACATTTTCTGGATTAAATATGGAACCTTTATCACACACACATAAAATATCAAAATATCATAACTTAGAACACAAAACATGATAAATTAAAATGAAATAGTAGACGTAAGCAGAAAACATGTCTAGCAGTCGGCCAATCTCAATCTGTTCACATCCTGCATATATGCAGTCGAAATTTTCTCATATTAATTTCGTGCAGTGCCCATAATATCATTGTTGTACATGTGCAAGATCTTTTTTTTTTTCACTTCACATTCTTTAGACACACTTAAAATAATCACGTGGTCACACATCGCTGGTAATGCATCACATTTCTGGAGTCGAACACCTATATATAATCTGCTTGAGATGTTTCAGAACGGTGTCGGGGCAGATGGATTTTAACACTGAGCATTTTCATCTAAAAAATCGCAACCTTTAGTTCTGCTTTTTTTTATGCAAAAATACGACGATACTCCATGTGAAAATATCAGGAACGATGAAACTTCAGTAGCGCGACATGCAGGAACACAAAACCGCACACGTGGGGCGTCGCTAATTGCCAAGCGATTGCAGGAAGGTCACGGGCTCAGAAGGGAAGAAGGGCAGAAACCAGTCTGACCGGTACTCATTAAAATTACGATTACGACGATTACTGACGCGATTACGATTAAAATTTGTGATGCCGGCAAACTGCGTGGTGTGAGAAATTACTATTCTCACAGACTCATGCTTTGCGCTTCGGCTGTATTGGATTAATCAAAACTATTGTTGCTAAAGAACTGACTCATTAGGTTGGCATGCCTCTTTTTAAGACGGTTTGGTGTGACTGCAGAATTGCGTTTTATGCTAATTTTGATTGCTTATTTGTATTCGGCGACGCAACCTCTAACTCATATGCAAAATTTATGTTTTAATTCCCCTTTTTACATTCGTACCTTTTCTTTTGGCGTTTGTGTCTTATTTTTTATTACAAGTGAATAACACCGAATTCTTTTATGCGAAGCAAATGAATTACTATGTAGAAAGTTTATTTTTTCAATGAATAACTGATAAGAGAAATTCTGCGGCAAATTAATATTTAATTTATCAGCGGAGAGTTTTGTGTATGAATATGTGAATTGTAATGTGAAAAGTTTATATTGCCTAAACATAACAGTTTTCGAAGTTTTTACACAGTAAATTCTTCACTTCTATGGCACAGGAACGCTTTGTTTAAAATATGTAAATACTATACAGGGAGATAACTATGTCAGGAAGAATTTGATGCACGGGAAATTTTCATATGAAATAATCTTTGAATGTAATTTGAAACTATTTTAAAAGCTATGTACAAAATATCACATCGAAAAATGATACGAAAGTTCACTGAAGAAAATGCAACTGAGTAAATTATGATTCATTTTGAATTAACTGCTTATTATATATGGGATTCAAAATTTTCATTTTTCGAAGATTAATTTAATAACTTTGCAACCATACTTCTTTCATGCTTATCAGTTGAAATATACAATATTGCACTATTCTTATTCTATAATTAATTAAACCAGATAGAGTTCAACATTTTAGATGACTTAGAATTAATCTAAGCTAGAAAAATGTCCAATCGGAAGATTAATAATTAGTAATTCTATGCTGTTAATTAATTACTTAACTTTTTTAATCATTTCATTTTTCAATAGAGATATTTCGGCGAATTTAATTCGTTGATCAGGCTGTATTTTCTGTAAATAGTGAAATTCTTTCCACTTTTTCCCTATGCAACATCATGGTTTACTGTATACTTTAGGTACTTCTTGTGATTTCGAAAATGGGACGTGTGGTTGGTTTAATGCATTTGGTCATAAAGGAAAATGGACAGTTAAACAGGGAAAGAACGGTTATATAAAAACAGATCATACAACAGGGACCGGAGAAGGTACGTTAACCCTCTTTATAATTACTTCCATGATAATTATAAAAACTAACAAAAAGTGCTTCCACGAATTATTTAAAATTTTCTGCTTCTAAAAATAGCTGTAGTAATAATTTAGTTAAATTCTGGTGTCGTTTTCTGAATCCTGATTCGTGCTTTTTATTGGACGTCATGCTCCAGGACTTAAAATATTCACGGATGCCATACTTATTAAACACTAAATGGCCTCACGCTCCAGGATTTAAAACATTTATGTATGCCATATTTATTAAACACTAAATAGCATCACGCTAAATTTCGATAAAATGATTCGAATGATATTGCAGATATTTTGTCAATAATTTCAAAATATCGTAATTTCAGGTCATTACTTGACCCCCGTGAGTTTCATGAATGAAATATCTCAATTACACTCAAAGCCTTATTTGATTTCTGGAGCCAACTGCAAGATATCGTTCTGGTATTACATGGACGGTTACAAGCCTGGTACGCTTTCCGTTATGATTCTGCATAGCAAGAAGAGTAACAAGGTAAGCATAACCCAGAAGGGAAACAATTCCTCGAAGTATTTTTGAAGCTATATATCATATCAATGCGATTTAGTAATTATTTCCTGCATATTCATTATAAATTAAAACCTGTATATTCATTATTCCTGTATATTTATTATTAAGGAGATACATTCCGATGACCTCATTCATCACGTGACTTATGTATACCTTTTATAAACAAACAACGCAGATGACCTCAGAGATCACGTGACTTATGTACAGCTAATGTAAACAAGCAAGGTCATTCTTCCTCTTCTTCTCTTGCGGAATGTATCTCATTAAAGACTGTGATATTTTTCTAATGTGGACTATTTTTGTTTCATTTATTCTTTTAAGATAGGTCATATAATGAGAAATTATAAGTTTGTATCGCATTATCGGTGAAATCTAAAGCATTAAGATTTCAAAAACTCTATGTTAATAGCAATGCTTTTTAAAAATCTATACAAGAACAAGCGTCGCCCTGATGGCATGATGGCAAAGAAATTGGCTGCCATGACCTTGGTTTCGGACTTAAACTCCGGATAAAGCATGGATGTTTCTGAATGTATAGTGTCTTTCGGCTTGGAGAATCTTCGAATGCTGTTGAGCTGAAAAACCCTGTCGGCAGACTAGCGGAAACAAACTAGCGGACGAGACCCTCGTATTCGTCCCCCAGGGAATTCTCCATACCTACCAACCTACTTTATATATAAGCTCCCTTTTAAAGGCCAACTAGGAATGAGGGCACCCAATTGTCAAATCCTAGTGGTGAAGAATTATCTCCTTCCACCTTTTCAGTTCGAAGCCATTTATAGGGTCCTTAGGTTTTTTGGAGCAGCAGATGTGAAAATTCTGCAGTGCCTTCGCCGAGATTCGAATACTAGACCTTTCGATTACGTGTCAAGTATGGTTTCAATTATATCACGAAGGCATACGAAAAAGAGGGGAGAAAATACCTTATAATCATATGTGGACTTATTATGTGTTTATTGTCAGGCAAGTGAGATAAGTCAAAACCAGTAGAGACTCAGTTTATAGTGCGAAAATCGGCTGCTTTTGTGCATCAAAAAGAAAGTATTACTAACTTGTTTAATTAACTGAGGCATAAAATTAAATGAATAATGAAAAAATACGTAAAATGCAAGTAAACGTTATACTGCATATAAAATACTGCATATGAAATGCAAGTTAAAAAGTATACTGCGTATGAAAGTATACTTTACATTACAAGGCATATAATAAATACTTTGAAACACCATGCATATTATAAAAACGCAAGATAGAAAGAATTATATTTGCTCAAGCAGAAAATCATTTTTCAATCAAACTTACTATCTTAGAATACTAATTTTGCTTCTTCTTAAACTTAAAAATTTGATATAGACATCACATGACCTGCTTATATGGCCTAATAAATTAAACACAGTTTCTGCTGTATTTCATTTAAACTTATTTTCTGGCATTATTTCAACTTAATTAATTGATCCCTCAAGACAAGTTAATAACAACATCAAAAGTTGCAAATTTTGAAATTAAATATCCCGATCAATTTTTATCGTTCAGAAGTCAAAACGTGAATATTTTCGTCATTTAAAATACTTCTGTAATTGAAAGTATATGACTACGACCAACGATAGCAAAAATAAAGGCAGAGTGAGGATTTTTAAGCCGGATAATGGGGATGGGTATATATATATATATATTTATATACCCACCCCCATTATCCGGGTATATATATATATATATATATATGTAATCATTGTCATTGATCGGAAATTAGTTGACTTTTCAAGGGGAACAAACCAACTCCCGTTTAATGAACAATAGTTAATAAATAAATAAAGGTGTTTCGTCTTTACTCGAGCACTAAGGCTAAGCCAAACCGGCAATTCAAGTCAGGTCAAATATTTCCGTGAATAGAAGGGATTATGATATATATGTATATATATATACGTACGAAAAAATTAATTTTAAATCCATTTTACATTCCGTTTCGAAAACAAAGGAATTTGTTATTTCGTCCAAATATATTCGAGAGTGTTCAAATATGATATCCTTCTGTTGAAATACGATATTCAAAATTTATCGCGGTTACAGTACTTCCTTTACCTTGTAGAAGGAAATAATGATGCTAGTGTAAATTCGCCTTATACTATTTGCTTAACATAAACTAAGTCACATGCTGAAACTAAAGGGAAACTAAATCAACAGCGCGAAGGTGTTATTAATTGCAGCTAAAGCAGAGCACGCCAGGCGGACATATAAGTTCACATTTTCGTGAAAAATACAAAGAGTGGTGGACAAAAGTATTACCTTGCTTCTTAAATTTTAGAAAGAATAGTAAAAAATAATTCACAAAAAGCTTTTATTAGAACAATGCCTCTGGATACATCATTAAAACTACTGTAAAATATGTAACAAATGTATGCAATCTAAATTGTAGTGTATGTAAAATGTAATAAAAATAGTATAGTCAAAATATAGTAAAATCGTATTAGAAGATCGACGAAATTTCGTATCAAAGCAAAACAAAAGTCAGTGATACAGCTAAAAATAAATCATAAAGTACAATTAATAGTAAGTTTTGTATTTCCGGCTTTTAATCGGAAAAATTCCGGCGCAGCTCTCGGTCTTTTTTGGCATAGAAAATATTAATTTTGGGGTTGTTTCATGTGATTTTGTTTTTCCGTTCTTCGAAAAATTTTGGATTGGCAAGACAGCAACTTCGGTTTACACAAATAGATAGCGTTATGTACGTTTTGTTATTTTTCTGGCCATCTTATATTTCTTTTGTTTAAGATTTGACAGCTGGCACTTCTAGCTTGCTGCAGAATTCCGAAGTTTCCAATTATTCAGAAAATATTTAAAATGCTTTGTCTCGCATTATTGTCTAAGAAATAAACTATGCTAAAAATTGACTAGATTATAGACATTACACATGTTATATTTATCAAAAGAAAGTTAGGAGCTGACCATGCGCGTGTGTTGTCATCTGCCACTATAAGTACCCTGATATTAGCAATAACTTTAAAATTATCTGCTAAAGCACATAAAATGTAAAGCTTTTGTCTTTAAGAAGACCTGATTTTTTAATTTCTTGCTCTCCGTTATTTCAGATCCAAGTAATGTGGAAAGAATCTGAACCTCAGGGAGAAGAATGGAAAGAACAAATCATCAACATCAGAACTCAAGAACATTTCAGCGTAGTTTTCGAGACAGCAATGGGAATCAGTTTTCAAAGAATCTTAGCTATTGATGATATAACGTTTATAACGTGCGCCTCAAGTAAGTAAATCTTTTTCCCAAATTTTGATTTAACCCCGAAACGTTTTGGCTTATATGTTGAGATATGACCGTGACTGAAAAGCTTTTATTCTCTTCGCTTTCCCAACAATTTTCCAGCAGATCGGAGATTCCAGTAGATTTCTACCAGACTACTAAATAGTAGAACATTTAAATTTTTTATGTTTAATTATGTTGTTTTCTATACGATTTAAGAGGATTCTATTACTGTATTACTATTACTCTATTATTCTATTACTGAATTATAGAAAAGTTGTAGAATTTAATGTAACGGTTAACTAGTGATAGAATTCAGTGTAAAGGTTAACACTTTATAGAATTCAATGTAACGGTTAACACGTTATAGAATTCAACTAGAATTAACCATTATAGAATTCAATGTAGCGTTTAATACGTTACAGCATTCACCTCAAATTAACAAATATAGAATTCAGTGTAACGGTTGACAGCTTATAGAATTTAAGTCGAATTAAGAACTTAGTGTAACGATTAACAAGTTACAGAATCCAACAGGAACTAACAATTATAGAATTCAAAGTACCGATTAACGCAATATAGATTTCAATATAACGATTAAAACAATATAGAATTCCACACTAATTAACAATTATAGAATCAACGCGTTATAGAATTCAACACAGTATAGAATTAGCACGCTATAGAATTCAATACATAGAATTAGTACGCTGTAGAATTCAACACGTTACAGAATTCAACACATTATAGAATTAGCACGCTGTAGAATTCAACACGTGAATGCTGTGAATTCTATGAATTCAATGCCATCATTAGTTTCCAATAGTTGAAAGAAAATAGAAAAAAAAAAGCTTAGTATTAATTTAAACATAACCAGACCTTTTCCAAAGGCAATTGGGATAGGATAATTTTAGCAACTTTGGAAGAAAGGAGAAGAAGGGTCACGCCTACTATGGAGGTGATATGCTTAAACAGTATTATTACCTAAGCTAAACGCATGTTTAGCTTAGGTCCTTCTCCCTCGCTAGTCCAGTTAATACAATAAATCCGACTACCTACGGTTTCAGTTGATTGTATTTGTTATGGAGCTGACATTCTTAGAGATTATGACGAAAGAATGTGTTCAAAACGATGTTTATTTACATTTTCAAAGTTCTAGTCACTCGTAATCTTAGAGGCGGTAACCGGAAAAGGTTCACTTTAAAATAATTGTAGAATAACATGCTGTGTTGTCGCATTTCTTCCTAGCATACAGACTTCACTGCATCTGTATTGAAGATAGAGATTAAATAAATGTTTTGATTGCTCTGAGAAAAGCGGAAACATTTTTAGTTTTAAACTCTGGCATCTGCCTTAATTGAATAGACGTTACACATTTTTATAAATGTAATATTGCGTTGAATAAGTTGTTACTTACTTTTGTTACAGGAAATTCTTCTCTGTCAAAATATTTTTTTGCTTCTCACCACTATTTTCTTCTGCAACAGTTTTCGCAGATATTGTATTTAAAATTCCGTAAATGCTTTACTTATTCTATTTATTTTTCCAAATACTAAAGTCAGTTTGAAGAGAAACTTCGAAATTCTTACACAAAATAATGGGCATTAACCTTTAGAGCTTCCTAAAAGAACAAATGATTCTTAGCCCAAAAGGCGTTAGTTCGAATGAGCTATTGGTCTCGAAACGGCATTTTGCATCGTCTACTGTAGACGGGGAATCTCTTTTCAAGTTGTTGCCACCAAATACTATCGCCTTTTATTTTCTTTTAATAAATTAATGATGGATCTGTATGTATGTATGTAGGTATGTTCGTCACATTGTGAAAAAATGAATGAACATATTCGAGTGAAAACGTAGTCTATCGGAATATGTACGCCTGGAAGACAGAATTTAGAATTTGGAATTTTATATTTCGTAGTTTGTCAAACTTGAATGGATTTTTGGTTAATAAACTCAATGATTTGAAAGCGGACAGTGGCAACAATGTACAGAACAAAATATTTTTATCTCCAACGCGCGGGACTGTCTACTACCAGTAATTCTAAAGACATGTTATTTTTAAATATTTTGTAATTTTACTCTTGAATCGAATTTTATGTGGATCAGTTGCGAAGAACGTGATATTTAATAAATAAAGTAAACTCAAAAAAGTTAATAATAAAAAAACAAAAAATATTTGCAAACTACCCTAAGAAAACTGAACATTGATATGATAAACTGAGAAATGATTGACAAAAATATAAAAATGTACATCGGGAATTTTAAACGTATGCTGCTTTTAAATATTTTTAATTTTGCTGTAGAATTGTATGTGGCTTAAATGCGAAGAAAATTAATAATAAAGCGAGCAGAAGTGATTGCAACAGCAGACTAGTACACTACGAACTCAGCCAGAGCGTAAGAAAACCTTAACAAATCCTTTTGGGCGATCATAAAAATTTGAATTCTTTCTGATTTTTTATTACTATTCGGACCTCAAAATAATATCACCATAACCGTATGAAAAGGCAATAACAAAAGTCATGCTGATTACTTATAAAATTAAAGTATATTTACAGAATCCGAGACGGTGTCTAGAATGTATTATTCTAAAGCAGGATATTGTACTAAAAGTCACAGTGTAGGACGTTTGGTTACTATGAGCAGCATATATTAAATATTATTACTTAAATGTGTTTAAGATATCTGATTATTTTTTATTTAAAAAGAAAATAAATTTTAAAGATAGTATTTAATATATGCATAATAGAATTTAATTTCGTCTTGCAAACCTTCTTCTGAATTTTTAGACTTCCAAATTTTGAGTCTTGTTCGATGTTTCGTAGAATAACACTTTGTGAATAAATTATTTTATTACGAGGAATATTTTGATAATATTGATTTTCAACATGCAAGGCCTAAAACAGATGAAAAATAATTTAGTAAAAAAAAAATATGTAAGCTTTCAGATTTTATTTTTGGCTTGGACTTTGAAAAGCTTTTCAAAAGGAATGATTCCATTCCTCTCGAAAAACTTTCCAAAGACCAAGCAAAGCCATGTTCTTCCGGTACTACAAAATATTTCTTCCGATGTTATAAAATGCTTAGTTGTCTTCGAAATTACGGTGTAGAAAGATAGTGAAGAATAAGTGTTCTCAAACAGAACCATAATACTAGATTGTACCAGTTGGCTGAGATGGGAAGAGATGCCTGCATACTCATATCTTCCCATTTTAGCTATTTTGCATAAATTTCTAGAGGAAGTGCACTTGCGTAATCTAAAGTCAGAGATCGGTCCTACAGAATCGGTCCTACTATTTTGAGGTCCTACAGAAGAGTCTGAAGAGAATCGAGTCTAACTTCACAAAAAGTGATTACAAATACGTAAAAAATGCGCTAAATTTCTCTGAAATACTTTTATTTAAAATTCGAATACATTCTGATTTTTATTTTTTACACTTCACTACCCTCAATTTCAATAAAATGTTCTTTTAATGTTTAAGTTGGTTGTAATAAGTGGCACACTTTTTTCAGCCCATCCACCGGTCGAATGCTCTAGTGATGAATGGATGTGTCAAGATAAGTTAAAATGCATCAAAGTTTGGGCTCACTGCGACGGAAAATATGATTGTGCGGATAAGTCTGATGAATATAAGTGTGGTGAGTATTTGAATTATTTAGCTTTTGCTTAGATAAAATAAGATTAAAAATAAATAATTGTTATTACAGAGTTTGACTTCCTTAGAGAATCTGTACCAACATATCTTTGCAATGTAATGAAATTTCTTTTTTATTTCTGAAATGCATCAGTACTAAACGAATGACTGCCATATCAGCTTGATTAAATAACGCAAAACTGTAAAATTACAATCATCTGTAAAATATTTTTTGTTTCAATAAATGCTGTTTGTAATCAATCAGGCAAATGCTCTTTGAACTCCTTTTATTAAAGAATTAGCCTAACGAGCGCTCTCTTTCTTAATACTTTCAGCGTCTTCTTTCAGAGATGTTTCACTGGGAAGGAGAAAGTGAAAACTGAAAAGTGCATGACATTATCTTTATTGAAAAAGAAACTCTGTGATACCATATATCCCTCCGCTACATGTATTACATATACATTTATGTACAAAATTAAGAGAATAATTCAAATATATAGTAATTTATTTAACTATGAAATTACTGTCTCTATATCCTGGGTAATGCTCACAAAAGCAGGAGTGCCCATCTCAGGAATGTCCTGAATAATGCTCACTAGAGTAGCAGTCGTTTAAAGATTGCATTTAGTTTTACCTCCAGTTCAGTTCAGTTATCTGATTTAGACAGCATTTAGCAACCCACTGCTTTAACTGCCTGTCATGGCAAGCCCTAAGGCTTGGAAAAATGAGAATAAGGTGGTAAACGCCGCGCCTCTGTAGGCGGAGCTAGAATAGTACATGAATACACAATGAAATTTAGAATTTAGAAGTACATTTGGGAAAACTGTTAGAGCTGGCAACAAAATATGAAAATATATTAAGTTATGTAGTAAACTAGTGATGAACAATCATAATTAAATCACTAATACTTTGAATTTATGACTTACTTTTTTATGGTCATTAACAACTAAAGAGTTTTCGCCAGTAGATCGCATTAAAGTGCAGTAGGCAAAGATATTTTCAAATAAATGGTACTAGGGAAGTACCAACACCCGTGGGCGAAGAAAATTCAGCTGCGTGAGCAGGCATATCTTAATACTTACGAAAGTAGGCGTTCATCATAAAAATTGTGCAGTGGTAAGCAATGGCATTAAATTGAAGCATGTAGGCAGGTTCAGTGAGTTGTATGGCAAATGCAGGTGGTGAGTGCAATATAGCTAGTAAGAGTGCAGGATAAGCAATAGTGAGACATCATGAAAATGGCGCGAAGACAGTTTGAAGCTGTGAATGGCATAAGAGTTCAAAGTCCTTCAGAAGTATGCAGTAGTTAGATAGGCCGTAAAAAGTTCAAAAGTTCGTAGAATCATACGATAAAGTAAAAATTCATACAAAATAATTTTAAAAATGAAATAGTAACATAAAAATCTTGAATAAAAATTTTTTTTCTTGATTAACATAAGTATAAGATGCAACACAAATAATAGGATAGAGTCCAATTTCAGAGTTCAAGTAAATTTTAAAATTAAATTTACAAGTTACCACCATGAACGAATTGTGATGAATTGTCCTTGGGCGTTTGACAGTGTATTCAATGGTTGGATCATAATCCAACATTTGTTTAATTGCGTTATACTGACTATGCTTCATCTTCTCGAAGAAGTTGTGAGCTGTTATGAGTATAAAGTTATGCACAGATGGAATATCCAAGTCGTTATGAATTATAGAGTTTCTCACGTACCAAGGTGCATTCACAATGCTACGTAGAATTTTATTTTGAAGTATATCCAATTTTTTGCGCTCGGTTTTATTGGCGATTGCCTAGGCCGGCACTGCATATAGCATGATCGGTCGAATTAGGCTTTGAATTTCGATAGTCCCACAGCTTGTATATCAAGGTCTCATACTGAGTAACTGGTAACAAAAGAACTAATGAGTCCCTCTGGCAGCCACACCCAATCCTGTACTAAAGCTGCTCTTAGTTCCTAGCTCATTTTCCGAAGTTATTTGCAATTCTTGGCATTCCAAGCCTTACATTTCATACAGAAGTGTCTGAAGAGAGATTCGGCATAAGTCTACTCTCGTGGAAAGCTTTGTAAGACTTCAGAGCCTTCAGATACAGAATTACTCTTCGTTGAACCCAGTTGATGTAATTGTGTGCTACTGTCCAGCATGCTTAAGTGAAGAGTAGTGAAATGATAAGCATAAAATCGTAAAAGTCCTAAATCGCTACTGAGCTGCTAGAGGCATGAGTTCGAAGCAAGCAGGAAGCATGATGGGGGCTTGAGTACTGGGGGGAGGGGCGCAGCTACTTGTCGGATCAATCTGGAGCCGATGCCATAGCTGGAAAGAAGTGCAACTTCAAGCAAGTCAGGCATTGGTGGAGGGGCAGGACTTAATACGAACATGGAGTTTGAGTTTCATCGAGGCCAAAACAGAATGCGAAAGGGGAATGAAAGGATATTAGAAATTAAATTTAAACATTGTATTAATTAAGGATGAGAAGAAATTTAGCTTAAGTGCAGTAGGACTGGTCCATGTCTTTTTCTGCTATTTTTATAGTTTATGTTATAATTCATAAGGGGAATATAGTTGTTGTTAGCTTTTCCTATGTTTTTGAGTACATTCAAAAATGATCCAGAGTTCTCCATTTTGCTTCAGCATATTCTATTGCATAGAGCAGAGGTTCTCAACCAGAGGAGGGAATTCCCCTCGTGGTGGGAATTTCATTAAATCAGGGGGGTAAGGCGGGCAGCCTTTTGTTTAGTTTTAGTTTGTGAATATATATGGCTCATCTATTAGGTGCCTCCATAATAAAGAGACCACCACATCTGGCCTTGTATAGATTAATGGACTGGGTTACATTTGTAATTGTTCACAAGCTGCCATTGGAAAAAAAAGAAAAGTTTGTGAATATAAAACAAACTACTTTTATTCAGGTGTTGTAGACATTGTCTATACTTTTTGTTGTTTAATTAATAAAACACTTTAAGAGATAATCTAAATCTAAAAAAAAAATGTATACATATTTTTCAAGTTTGGGAAAGGACGGTGAATAAACAACTTTTAGCGATAGTAAAAGGGGGTACACGGGGAAAATAAGTTTGAGAACTCCTGGTATGAAGATATTTATGTTATATTTTGTATTTTATTTTATTTATTTAATTATTTTTTAAGTATTCTTCTTCTGAATGCTGTCTGGTGTCATTCAGAAAAGTCAAATTCAACTCCATCTATTTCAGAACCTCAATATGGCGACTGCAACTTTAATTCTGAAAACTGGATGGACAAATGCGAATGGATGTCAAAAGAACTGGAATTTGAGTGGTCTAGGGCGAAGGAAGGCCGAAGTTCCAAAACTGGCCCCGAAAGAAACCAGAATCCCAGACAAGAAGGTTGGTCATTGACTTCGCAATCATAAACACATGTCTTGTTTTTCTCTTTAAGCATATGATCGCGCAATAAATATGGTAATAGATGTAACCGATAGGTAATTATAAAACTATTAATATATAGATAGATAGATAGATAGATAGATATGGAGTAAGAGAGAGATATGAATATAGGTATATATATATATATATTATATATATATATATAAAATAGATGCAAGATAAAATAATAGGCAAAAGATAAATTATAATTTAAGTTAGCAATAGCATCTTAATGCGTAAATTAAATTTATTTCCCCTCTTTATTCCAAAATTAGTAATATCTTTCTGTACTCCGTCATTTCGAGACTAATTCATGCCATATGACATAGCACCGATGATGTGAATGGAACTAAAGCAACCAATAATATTCTTACAGCAGTATTAATTATTCAATCAAAATGCATTGCGAACCAAAACTAACTGAGTCTGAATTACGAGTAAGATTTCATCCTGAACACAACGCACTTGCTTTCTACCCATCCGCCTAACTGATCTGCTGCTTGCTGCTCTCTTCTTACTGCGAAGTTGTCAAAAATATAAATATTTCGAAATAGGCACAAGTATTGTGGACTTGTGGCAAGTTCTTTGTGGCCGTAACATGTTTAGTGTAATAAAAATGAAGATCTACTATGTCTCGGCTGCCAGTTTCGTATTCATTCTACGTGCTACGCCATCAGTATTGCTAAGTGATTTCATTACATAGATATATAAATATAAATTAGTTATGTTGAATTAAATTAAAAGTATTATAATCGGAGTACTCCATTGATTAACCCATATAACCATAATTTGTATAATTTTTAGTATTTGAATTTTTTTCAAATTTGCATTTTGGAGTATTTGAATGATTTTGAAACACAGAAAAAAATTTTCTTCTAAACGTTCAACAAAAACAATCCTGTAAACCGCGTATACAGATTAAAATATATGAGCATAACTCCTGCAAATGACACAATTAATACCTACAGTCTCTGTCCGTTTAGTATAAGATGTTAATCTTCCTTTTTTATGCTGAATAGAAATTTAAAGGTAATTATCGTAAAATAATGTAAATAAAATATCGAAGCCGAAAAGTAAACTAATCTGAGAATTGAATCTGAATCTTCTTATTCCTTAGAGCGTCCTTTATAGTTATATACATTTAATTTATAAGTATTGAAGTTTTAAAGGAATCGGTACTAGTATGGAAACTTTCTAGATGTATTAAAATCTCTTCGCCAAAACTTGCTGCGTGCCAGTATCATACTTCTTTTGAGTTAATAGTTAAATTTGAGAATAATTAAGAGAATATTAATGTACCGTCAATTTAAATATGTCAGGTGTTCTGTTAAAATCTATCGTTAAAAGTATAATTTCTTCAGCAAGGACTCTTGTTTCTTCTGTACATTGAATGTTATAACTATGTGAAATCAAGTTCATGTAGAAGATCTCTAAGAAGTTGTGATTTGTGAAATTAGTTCAAGCTGTGTCCTTTTTCTTAGGTTATTTCCTATACATTGATTCCTCCAAGGCTTCAGAAGGCGACCGTGCTGGTATCCTGACACCAACATTCAAAGCCAGTGAAGGCAAATGCCATCTCCGTTTCTGGTACTTCATGAAAGGGTCTGAGACACTGGGGAAATTAGAGGTAAGTTTTGCATCTTATTTAAACATAAGGTGCCCAGTCCAAAACTACCCTATTTAAACATTGTACTGAATGAAATAAATAGACTTTAATCAAGATAATGAACTAATTTCGGAAGAATTAACCACAACGTTAATGATTAAGAATTCATATATTTCCACGTGTGATACTTTCATGATAATAGAGGATATATAGTGGACATATTTTCTCGAACGAAGTTCCAAGTATCATGGATGAGATCATGGAAAAAATGATAGTTTAAATTCAGATTGAATTTACGTTACGATGGGTAACGTTATTTTAATATATCGAAGTGTAAGAGGGTTGTCTGCCTAAAGAGACGGATGTTTTCGTGAAGGACTTTTCAGAGGAAATTGGCTCTTATTTTCAAGAAACGCATGGGAAAAACCACGAAAACTAGTCATGCAACCCCATTGTATACCTGGGAATGAAGCCAAGTCCAACTGTCAGTATTCAGTGGCCTTGACTATTCAGCTACTGTTGCCCATCTGTTATAGTAAGGCCATGGTTGTTTAAATGTCGGTTCTTTCATAGGAGGCAATGGTGGCACCTATTAGGTGCTGCCATAATGAAATGGCCACCACTTCCGGCACTTGTAGTGGCGCAAGGCTAATGGCTATTAAATAAAGCGCCCGGCCATAAAAAAAAACTATTCGGCTGCTAATGAGTTCCGAATTCAGGTGCGCAGTGTCACTCTAGCGATAAAAAGACCATTGGCAATGCCATAAATTATGGGAAAATGCACAAAAATAGATCAGAACGGTTATAAAGTGAAAATGAAGTTAATAAACAAAATCAGAAGAGGAAATAGAATCAGATTGGATAGTTAAAAAATCAGAATGGAAGATACAAAATTGAAAGCGTCATTTAAAAGACAGTGTACCAACTACAAGCTACCTCCAGGCAACGTCAATACGTAATTTTTAACACAATTATATGCATTTCCTTAGAAAATTGATTTCTAGTGTTTAATATTGTTACGAAATGTACAGGCACGGTAAGATGGCTTCCCGGCAAAGCAGTTTTAGGGTTGCCATAAAATGGCAAGAGAAGGCAGGGTTGCCACATTTGGCGAAAAATCGCCCATTTGGCGATAAAATTGGCGATATACCATGGATTGAAGGAGAATTTTCTGGAACGAATTCTTACCGGTTTAGCCCAGAATGTTCTCGAACACAAGCCGAAAGCTATACAAACCCTGCTGCTCCGCAGTCCGCAGTCAGTGTCTCTCATCGAGTGAGTGTGTGCCTTGTCTAAGCGACCTGATAATCAGTCACTGAGCGAGTGTCTCGAGGTCTAGCCCCGAGTTGGTCGTCGAGTCTTTTAGTGCATTGCGAATTAGTGCATCGTCGAGTTTTGTATCGTTGTATCGTTGAGCGCATAGCGTGGAGAGTTACGAGAGTACGTGGAGTTCCGAGAACGATCAGAGTCGGAAGCTGTACTCTGGTGCTTTGCAGTGAAGCTTTCTCCACCGTTATTGCCTGACAGTGTGAAGGCTGTTTCGATACTTCATCAAGTGTCATCGTTATTCACTGCAAATCCGTACGAACCCGTAACGAACGTGAAGGAAGAATATAACGTAACAACTGGTGTCAGAAGAAAAAGAAAATTCGGAACAATATGAACCCATGAAAAAGTGAAATTCATAAAATGTCTTGTCATATGGGAAAATATTTTTTCTTCTTCTATTGACAAATTCTAAATTAAATGCGATTTTCTCAAAGCGGCATTAGAACCAAGTTAATGGATAACAATCAAAATATAAATGTGCATGTCAGTATGCTAAAAATAACCTTGTGTATATAAAAAGTAAAAGGACAAACCTTCCCATCCCCCAAAAGAAAAGAAAATCTGAAAGGTTTCAGATTTGAAATTACGTCCAAGAGGAGATTTTGTAACATTTTGTGCATTACCTTTATTTATTAAGTATCACGTTCTTCGCACTTAAACCATAAAATTCAGTTCAATAGCAATATCGCAAAATAATTTTAAAACAGCACGTCTTTAGAACTTTCAAAAAACAGTCTCATGCGATGGAGATAAAATTTTTTTTTTTTCCTACCACACAGTTTTGCCATTGGCTAACTTTGAAATAGCCTGAGTTTGTTAATCAAAAATTCGCATAAATACTTTGCAAAATAGGAAATAGATAATAAAACAAATAGCAATTCCAAATTTGGGCCTTCCAGATTCCCATATTCAGATGGAGACGTACCGTTATTTAAAATTCGATGACTCTAGGTACCGTTCTTTTATCACAATGCGAGAAACATATATACATTTACGCAGATTCTCCATTATTTAATTTCTTCATATATAGAACTTGGCGATAATATTTGGTGGCAAGAGTTGGAAAAGGAAAACGGACACTCAGAGTGATTCGACGTAAAATCGCAAAACGAAAACAATAGTGCCTCAGCGACAAAGACTCTTTGGACTAAAAAAATCTTAAAGCTTTCAGATTTTACATTACGCCTAAACGGGCGTTTTTTAACGTCTTGTATGTTACCTTTATTTATTAAATATCATGATCTTCGCACTTAAACCACAAATTTCAGTTTAACAACAATGTCGCAAAATAATTTTAAAATGAGCATATCTTTACTTTTTCAGATACACAGTCTCCCGCGTTGGATATAAAATGTTTTTTTTTTTGGGGGGGGGAGGTTCAGTGTTGCCATTGTTCGCTTAGAAATCGTTGAGTTTGTTAATGAAAAATTCGTTGAAGTTTTACAAAATATGAAATGGATAATAAAACAAATTCCAAATTTGGACTTCCAGATGCCCATATTCGGGTGGAAACGTACAGAATTTGATAGCTCCAAGTACCGTCGTTTTATCACAATGGGAGAAATAGATATACATTTATGCAGATTTTTTCAATATTTAAATTCTTTAAATATAATACAGGTCTCTAATATTGGGTGGCAACAATTTGAAAAGTGATTCAACATTTATAGTGAACCAACGCAAAATGCCAAAGCGAAATTAATAGCCCTTCTGGGCAAATTGCCCCTTTGGACTGATAAATCGTAATTAATAAATGTATAAGATTTTTAATACTGGTTCTACTACAGAGAATAGTATGTTGGTGTATTTAATTATGGCAAAGCACACGAGGGCTATCTGCCTAAGGGAGGGATGCCTTCGTGGAGGATTTTCTGAGGGAAACTGGCTCGTATACACGTTGCACATGGGCAAAACCACGAAAACGCCCATGCAACCTCGGACCGAACTACCAGTGTTCAGCGACTTTACCGCTCGACCGCTGGTGGGCCCTACTACAGAGAATGAAAAAATTCATATATTAAAGTACATGAACTGCAGCAGATTTCAAAACATGAAGATGCAGTATTAAACCATAACTATTAATAAACTACTGGATGATATTAGATTCTCAGCATAATAATAGAAAATAATCATCTTAATATTTTTATATTAATACTACTTTTTAAAATCAGTAAGATCTAAATATATGCGAGTTTCTCAGAGTAAAAGCAGCATCAGCGATTAATACTTTGAGGCTGAAGTAGATCAGAATATGAATTTGTGTGATTCAAATCGAAAGTAACACTTTTTTCTAAGAAATAGATTGAACCTCTAAATCAGTGGTTTTTAACCGGGGGTGCCCGCTCCCCTGGGGGGGCGGGAATGTATTTTTTAGGGGTGCGGAAGAAGCCCCTACCTAACCATAAAATTTACTAAATATCATTTAATAAATTTCTTGTAATAAAAGATTTGAAATCTGCAGTAGTGTCCCCAATACTGAAGCTCATAAAAATTGGTAGCACCTAGCTCACTTATCGGCAAAAGACACAGGAAAGAGCCGATGCCGATGGGCGTATACACTACGCTACGAAAAAGCATGGAACGCTACAAACGAACGCGAACAGGCAGCTAGGTGACGGCAAAAAGGAAAAAAACTTTGTGGGAATACAAGCGTGACCTTCGAGAAACCTCGATAGCCACGAAGCGACGATACAAGCGGAGAACGTTATCCCAGCTTGCGCATGTGCTGAGTTCAACATGTGCTACTCCAATGAAATCTACGGATTCACAGATTTGTATTTGCATCTACTGCGCCTGTGTTAGTAGAGTCAACTATTGTGTCTGCGACATGTGTATTGTGTATTCTGACTTGTCCAGAAACCTCTTGAGACTAATACATTCTTAATTGCCCGTTCAAGCCGAATAGAATTCAGTGATATTACAAACGTAAGAACATTATATATATTATATTACATTATTTCTAAATAATTAAATCGATTATAGTGAACCCCACTATGTCAAAAAAAAAACGACAATGGAACGATAAGTATGCCGGTTATGGATTTACCTGCACAACCGAAAAAGGTGCACCGCAATGCATCTTGTGTTCCAAGATATTTTCAAACAGCAATCTCAAAACCATCAAAGTTATTAGAGCATTTCAAACAATCTGCATGGTGGCGAAAAAGCGCATAGCATGAACAGCTTGAAGTCAAAGAAGGCTCGGTTTCATACCAGTGGAACTATCCTAAAATTGTGCGGACCAGCAATTCAAAAACCTTTATTAGAAGCGTCATATCAAGTGGCATATTTATGTGAAAAAAAAAAAAAAAGAAACCTCAAACGATCGCTGAAGAGTTGATTAAACCTTCTGCTTTAATTATTGCTAAAACAGTTTTAGATTCGGAAGCACATAAAAAAATCCAACAGATTCCATTATCGAATGATATTATACGATCGCGAATACAAGATCTCAGTGAAGATATTTTAATGCAAGTAATTGAAGACATAAAAATCAGTCCACTAAAAATAAGCATGCAACTGGATGAGTCAACTGATGTTGATAATTGTAGCCAACTTTTGGTATTTGTCAGGTATGTGAAGGAAAGAGAGGTGATAGAAGAATTTCTATTTTGTGAGCCACTGGAGGTGAATACGAGAGGAATTGATGTTTTCAATCGCATCAGAGATTTTTTTACTAAATATCAATTACCAATCAATGTGATTAGCTCAATATGCACTGATGGAGCCCCAGAAATGTTAGACAAAAAATCATGATTTTTTTCACACATGAAAAGAGAATTACCGGAAGTTATAATAACGCATTGCATGTTGCATCGTCATGCACTTGCGTCGAAAGCATTGCCAGAAAGTTTAAAACAACATCTAACTACAGCAGTAAATGTAGTAAAATACATCCGAGGTTCGAGCGCTTAATCATCGCATTTTTCGTGCATTTTGCGAAGAAATCGGTGCTGATCATACCGTGCTCCTATATCACACCGAAATACGATGGTTATCTAAGGGTCGCATGCTTAACAGAGTTTTTGAATTGCGTGAGGAAATTATTCAATTACTGACTAGTCAAAACTGTTATTTAGTAAAAGATTTTGAGAGTAATGATGCAATGCTGAGGCTGGCCTACTTAGCAGACATATTTAGCCATTTAAATGAATTGAATCTATCAATGCAAGGATTTGGTATAAATATAATAATATCTAGTGAAAAATTATCTTCATTTATCGCAAAATTAGAAATTTGGATACGTCGAGTAGAAAAGGGGAATTTTGCAAACTTTCCCTTGCTTGATTCTGTTATTGCGAAAAATGAAAAGAATACAATTATACCCGACATTGTAATACATTTGAGACGATTGAGCGAATCATTCAATGGATATTTTTCTACCGGAAATATTACCAAAACTCAGAGATGGATACTGGATCCATTTCTATTTGACTTAAATTTGATGGATGATAGTGATCTGAAAAAAGATCAACTTATTGAAATGCGAGCAAGTGGACATGTTCAAATGGAATTCGAACAATTAGAATTGCAACAATTCTGGTGTTCACAGTTACAACGTTATCCAGAGTTGGCGAACGGAGCACTGCAGTTACTCTTACCCTTTGCTACCACCTACTTGTGCGAAATGGGATTTTCATCGCTTTTGCATATAAAAACTAAAGCGAGAAATCGCTTAAATGCAAGTGATGACTTACGCGTATGTCTTTCAAAAAAGGAACCTCGCTTCGCCAGTATAATAATGAACAAACAACAACAGACTAGTCATTAATAAAAATAATATTGTTTTGTATTTATATAAAATGTACAATGTTTTTCAATAAACAATAAGTTTTGCAAAAAATGTATTTTTCTAGACTAAAAAAATTAAAACACATTTTTCAATGGGGTGCTGGAGATATATTTTCAGATTCAATGGGGTGCGACTCGCTAGAAAGGTTAAGAAACACTGCTCTAGATTCTAGAAGAAGGAATGATTCAATCTCGAAAATTTAAAAAGCTTCTAGAAAGCAGAACAGCTATTACTCACTGTTTTCAGATTCTATGAAAGAACTTCATAGTTCCTTTTCCCTTTCTGAGTCCATTTTAAATCCATGTTACAATCCGTTATGGAATAAATATTCTTTTGTTTTGTATATATGTACAGATATTGCGCAAAAAAAAATCGTCGAGTTTAATTCGAGAGCCGCCAAAATGGATATTTTGGCTGGATACTCATAATTTTTTGCAATTACTCCCTTTACTTCGTACAAAGAAGTACTGTAATTGCAAACAATTACGGGTTGGACGCTTGGTCAACAAAGGCACACGAAGTGGACGTTTGCTGGGCAATGCCATATCCAACAATGTGTTCCGAAACTGAACTGTAAACTTCTTACCCAATGCCTTTACATTGAATAATTGGAGGAAATCTTTTCTTCACAGGTTCACAGCGAAGGCGAGAATGGACAGGTATTTCCACTGTGGGTCAAGTCTGGTCCTCAAGGTGACAAATGGTTGTACGCCTACGTTGCAGTTGGCAATCACCAGCCATACAGAATTGGTTTCATTGCCTATAGAGGTGGTGACAACGAAACAGACATAGCCATCGATGAAGTTAAATTCACACATGGATGCGCTGAAGGAGGTAATTTGTAGATAAATGTTGAAAGTGTTTCAATCTATAGTCCAAAAGCTTTTGCTTTTGGACTATAGATTGCAGCAGGACTATAGCAGAGCTATTGCTTCTCGGCTGATACCATTTGGAGGCAACTAACGTAAAATACATAACCTGTTATTGATTATTTTCAGGTGAGGCAATTGTACCAACTGGGCCAACATCCTTGTGTGGCAAAGGTGAGTTTACGTGCAGGTCTGGAACGCAATGCATACCTGAAGAATGGAGATGCGACTGTGCCTACGACTGCGATGATGGAAGCGATGAAGAGAACTGTCGTGAGTAGAAATTCCTACCTATAGCATGCATTTATGCATTACCTTTTCTTGTATTTAAATAATCATATTTTTTCTCTTTTCAGCAATTCAGTGCTTCACTACAAGACGTAAGTTTATGTATTTTTCTTGTTTTCTGATGTAATTACAAATAATTAAAATATTTGTTCATTATTTGTTCAAATGCATTTTTACTGCTTTGATTTATATAATGCATGCAAGTAGTTAACGTGACTGTAATGTTTTAATACATATATGTCTAATTAGTTTAATCATACAAAGGAATTATATTCTATACGTTTTATTCTTCTGACTACACCAATTTCGACTAATTGGTATAGTTGGAAGTGTATCCAATTAGTCGAAAGTTCCGAAGTTCGAATCGCTGACAGAGCATGGCTTATTTTTTGTGCTCCTAGCTCTGATAAATATATAATCTCTTTATAGTAGTCAAAATCATTGATGAACTTTTAAACTTATTTTTAACACTGGCAAGCGAAAAAAACGCTGATTAAAACAATAGGAAATATTATTCATGTTTTAATCACACGTGTTCTACATAATGGCTTTCAAAACATTTTTTTTTTTTTTTTTTTTTTTTTTTTTTTTTTTTTTTTTTTTTACAAAAAAAATATCTGAAAGTTTTCGTATTTTACATTACGCCGAAAGGAGCTTTTTTTTCGTTTTATATGTTACCTTTATTTATTAAATATCACGTTCTTCGCACTTAAACCATGAAATTTAATTCAACAGCAGTATCGCAAAATAATTTAAAAAGAGCATATCTTTGAAATTTCCGATACACAGTCTCGCGCGCTGGAGATAAAAAAATTTTGTTTTATTTTTCGTACAATGTTGCATTGTTCGCTTTGAAATCGTTGAGTTTCTTAAACAAAAAATCATAAATGATTTACAAAATATGAAATATATTTGATAAAACAAATTCCAAATCCGGGCTTCCAGATGCCCATATTCGAGTGGACACGTAGGTTATTCAACATTTGACGGTTCTAGGTACCGTCATTTTATCACAATGCTAAAAATATACATACATTTATGCAGATTCTACAATATTTAATTTCTTTAAATATAATCCAGGTTCTAATGTTTGGTGGCAACAGTTTGAAAAGTGAAACTCCACAAAATGGCAAAACGAAAGTAATAGCTCTTCTGAGCTAATGCCCTTTGGGCTAACAATAGCCAAATTTCAGCTATATTTTTCCAGCGTATAATTTGTAAACATTTGTCGATTGTGCTATTTTTGAGATCATATAGGCTTGAGGGGAAGTGTTTTGAAAATGTAAATGCAACATCTTTAGGATACTCTCAGAGATACATGCCTTGTGACCTAAGGTGACCTTTTTTGAAGAACTGCATCGTGTTATAGCCAGTCTGTCTTCTCAACATCTGAAGAAATATATAATATTCTAATACATTTTTTAAAGACGGTACTCCTCGGCATTTCAGATGGTACGGATTTCTTTTTCTTTGGTGCTTTTTAAATTTATGATCGGTTTACAGGTACGAAGTTATGCTCGTCTGAAGAGAAAGAAATTTTTAAAAAATTAAAAATTGTAACCTTTTATTGGCTTTGAGATTAAAGTTTTGCATTTCTTGCTGTTAGTTTTCTGTTTGCGTTTGTTTAAATAACAGAACCATTTTAACTGCATTTACAATGTGCCAGAAATATGAAATTATTTTCCACTCGTTCTATGCTACTGTAACCAGTGTTGATTTTCCATTTCCCTTGCAGTCTTATTTACTCCATGTGAGATTTTTAGCCCATGTTAATTTTGAAATTGATACATGTGTAACGCTGAGTATTATCTTTTATTAGCAGGCTTTCATTTTCTTCTTATCATCTTCATTTCTTCCATGTTAATTCTCAAACAGAAACAAATCTAATTCATAGAACCTTTTTTTTCTTTTTTAGCACAAAAAAGGTGAGTGGTGTTTCATGAGCCATAATTTCGAAGTTGTTTCGTTTTCAGGAGTCAGGTTGGGAGAGCATCAGAATTGGCAATCAAAACTTCAAGATTTCACAGAACATAGAAATAACATTTATTAACGATAAACTTAATGATATAGTATATTACTTCCGTCTATAGCGACCATGAAACATAATCAAGCATAAAAAAAAGTATGACATGCGTCATTCTTCATGTTTCGGCCGAGGGGTAAAGTCGCCGAACACTGGTAGTTCGGTCCGAGGTTCGAATCTCGCAACGAGCTGGCTGCATGGATGTTTTCGTGGTTTTCCCCATGTGTAACGTGTATACGAGCCAGTTTCCCTTAGAAAGTCCTCCACGAAGGCATCCCTCCCCTTAGGCAGGTGACAGGTGACGAAGGACGGCGACGCCTGATATTTAACAGAGATAAACAGGCATATGTACCGCGCCCTTCCCTATCTAGTGGCAGCAACTCCCAGGAGCCTCACGAGGCCCCCTCGGGAGTGTATTGAAGAATTTTACGTAATTGTACATGGAATACATTAGTTTTGATGGATAGGCGAATGATTTGTTACATCTTGGTTTGTTAGACACTGTTAAACACTAATTACAGCATATACATACACATACAAGTACATACACTTGCACATATAAAAGATACATACAAAACACTTGTAAAACACATATAAAAGCACATATATAACACATATAAAACATGTAAACATATTATAGAATAATAGAAATTAGATACTAGTTTGCACACACTTATACAAGTAAAACACATACTTACAATGAAACATAATTAAGCTAAATATAGTTATACACTTACACTAAGACACATATAGATCACATGAAAATGCGCATATAAACATACATAAAGCATGCAGGCACACTGTAGAATATTAAATTTTGTTATTAGATGGTACAGTAATTACAGATGAAACTTTACGCTGTAGAATACATTAGGCAATACATTATATCAGGTACACAATACTTATTTAATTTGAATAGATATGCAGCGCTTTTTATATACATAATGCTTACAGAATTGATACACAATGTAAAAACAGATACACTGTGCTTGTAAAGCATTAGATATTAGAAATTATACTGCGCACAGTTGTACAAACGAAATAAGACACTATACTACTATAAACAACACAGTTATGGTGTACAATTATGCCCTGCCCTTAGGCAGGTGACAGGTGACGGAGGACGGGGACGCCTGACGTATAACATAGGTAAACAGGTATATGTCCCACGTCCTCCACTATCTCGAAGAAGCAACTCGCTGGAGCCCCGTGAGGCTGCACCAGGAGTTTACATGGCCATACAGGGGCTAGATATCGGGTAGGTTTTACATAGGACGTTGTTAATAACACAAAGTAACTTAAAAAGAATATAAAGGATAGCATTAAAACACTAAAACACTCATACAAGCTGATGAAACACATAGATATACAAATTAAACGTAAAGCATAAAAACACACTCGTAATTACGTAACATAAAGACATAAAAACACACACGAGAATATAATAACATGACACATAGAATACGTATGGAAACACGTAGAGCACATAAATGCAAATATTACACTCAGAAGAAGAAGAAACATATGAGACATAGTAAGGTGTGCGTAAAGCAGTAGTGAGCGCTATGCGGAAATATGCTCAGTACCCATAATACATAATGTACATACTTTCATTAGGGGCTTCTGTTGCATGAATTACATATATATTTTGTTGCATACACTACATTCGGTGCATTGTACGGATATTATATATTTCGATTTACGGGATAACACATCATTCCATTGGGTGCCCAGTGCTTTACACTGATAAAACATGTCAGTAACATTATTTCTGCAAGTTGGTGGCTATTGAAAGCAGATGTTAACACGAGGCTCGAAATTGAATGTGGAATGTGTATTACAGAATGTGTACATACTGCGAATATCTAATAGTTGAGTACATTGTCTGCAGTACCATGCTACTGTGGCTCGCAAATGTCTTGCCCTAGGGCGTTGATTTGCTGTACAACTGCGCAGATACTCCTTATAGCTGGCGGGTGTTTGATTATGAACGATAGTAAAGTGTTCTATCATTCGTTGGATGTGGTAAGTGGTGGTTTGTTGTTAGACCGCAGTCAAATAGGTAGTGCTCGGAAGAACCTAGCATGCCACAGACACAATTGTCAGATGCTGAGATGCCATGACGCATAAAATAAGATGGAAACGGGGCCATGACCCGTTATGTACTGTGTCAGTGGGGCTATTTGTTATAAGACGTTCCGTGTCTACCTTTGGTAGGAAGTTATACGTCCTTCTCCCTGTGTCGCCACTATTCCATTCTTCTTGCCACTTTCTTTACAGATATTACGCAGAGTTTTCTTGAGGTGTGAGACGGGGGTAGGGGCTCTTATAGTTTGAGCGTGGATGTTGTTGGCAGCTTCATTAGCCAGTCGGTCTGCGACGTCATTCCCTTCGTTGTCGGAGTGTCCTTTCACCCCATACCATGTTAAAGCGGGCTTGATGATTATTGCGTAAAAGTTGCTGTATATCTATGATGATGGGGTGAAGTGTGGTGATGATCCCTGAGTGCGTGTAGCACTGACATGCTATCTGTGTAAAAAGTCGCATTGGTAAGGGAAAGGTTGAGGGCATGTCGTAGCGCATTCAATATTGCTAGTGCCTCTGCTTGGAAAAAAATACTATTGCTGTTAGTGAGATGTCCTTTCCATTCCTTTACTAGTGTGCCATGTTCGTAGTGAGCAAACGCGCAGCCCACTCCCTGATCATGTTTTGATCCATCAGTGAACAGTTGTGTAATCGCACAGGAAGTGCGTTGTCTGGAGTGCGATGGCTGATGTTGGATTTTGACATGGATCCCTCTACCTTGATGGCAGGGTGGATGTGTTGCACACTGACCAGGGAGTTCATAGTCTGTTGTTCTGAACGTAATTCCTGCATATGTGGCTTCTTGTCTGTGATGAGTGATTCGTACATAGGTAGCCTCTGCCTCTGCCTTTATGTGTAATGGCAGCAGGCCTGCAAGTATCGTGGCGGCGCTGGACGCTGTTGTGCGATAACCTCCGCAGATGTTTAATGCAAAACGGCCGTTGAATTGTGGTCAGTAGCTTGGTCTTTCGGCTGCTCATTGGT